CAGAACAGATCCCGGCCTCAGCCACAGGCAGGCAGGCTTTCCAGAAAGGTTGTGTAAGGCAGATGCCTGTGCTGTTCAGTCATACCACCTGCCCCAGGAGGCCAGAGCCTGGGGTGAAGCCCGCTGTGCGCAGGCCCAAAGCACAGCAACCTGGCGGAGCAGCCTCACCTGTGGGAGTGGCTTTAGCCTGTGGGAACTGCCCTCCCTTATGGGAGCAGCCCTCCCCTGTGGGCGTGGCTCTCCCTTGGGGGAGTGACCCTCAGCTGTGGGAACTGCCCTCACCTGTGGGAGTGGCCCTACCCTGTGGGAGTGGCCCTCCTGTGGGAACTGCCCTTACCTGTGGGAGTGGCCCAAACCTGTGGGAACTGCCCTTACCTGTGGGAGCTGCCTTCACCTGTGGGAGTGGCCCTCTCCTGTGGGAGCTGCTTTCACCTGTGGGAGCTGCCTTCACCTGTGGGAGTGGCCCTCACCTGTGGGAACTGCCCTCCCCTGTGGGAGCAGCCCTCACCTGTGGGAGCTCCCACCAGCACCTGGAAAAGCAAGCTCAGACACCCCAAACACACACAGACTCAAGGCACTGGGTCAGCCAAGGTGGTGGATCCACCTAGATAGAGGCCCTCTTGCTACCCAGATACCTGCTTAGGAGGCCAGGGCTGTACTGATCCTGAGTACCCAATCTTTGGGTAAGAGCCATACTAGCGTGCAAGGCCGAGTGCCACGTATCAGGAACTCCACTGCCCCAGGACTGCCCCAGGAAGCCTGGCCAGTCAGGTTTCTTTTTTTTCCCAACTTTTTATTATCTGATTCAATGCACATAAAATTAAATTTCAATAAATATAATTAGAACAAACAGAAAAGGGAAAGAGAAAAATAACAATTAAAAAAACTGTTGTTCATTGAAAATGTGCACTTAAGATTAATATAATTTCTGTGTCATTTTTTGTTCTTCCATTGTAATTGAAGAAATTATGAGTGAATAGGTAGTTCTGTAGAGTAGACTATTTTTGGGTATACTTTAAATAAATACCATGCAGATTGGTATTTTTAAGTTTTTAATGTGATAAAATTAGTCTGTTTGTTCCTTGCCTATCTGACCAGAGTGGACTGAACAATGCTACCCTCAGGGACTGATATGTATCTAAACTGCTCCTATGTTCTGTTCTTTCTTGTTTCTTATTTTTCAATTACAGTTGACATTCAATATTATTCTGTATTAGTTTCAGATGAAATATCAGGGGAACCACTCTGTAAAGTACATGGCTGCCATTCAGGAGGTGAGTCGGCAAGTGACAATGAAGGAATTGGCCCTAAAGACACCTGGGCAGATCACACTAAGGGGCTATGCAGAGCCATGGAACCAGAGTGAAGAAAGAGCTTTAAAGTCACTCTGTGGTAGGCCTGGTGCACCCTCAGGCCCTCCCAGCTGCCCTGCACTTAACAAAACAGAGGACAGAAACACAATAAAGGGAAGCCATGCTTCATGTCCCCAGCAGTAAAAAATGACAATGACAGAAACACTAGAATGAAAATGGGAGAGAACAAGAAAGTGTGGCTCTGAGAGAGAAATGGCTCCCCGGGTGCTTCCTCATCGAGGAAGGCTGAGGAAGAGGCAGAAAGCCAAGAGGGCGGGGTGGAGAACAGATCCAGAATGAAATGGGGCCTGTGAAGGAAGCAGGGCGGGTCGCCTTCGGCACTCCTGACATTTGGGGTGGGCTCATTCTCTTGTGGGGCTGTTCTATGCACTGTAGGAAGTTTAGCAGTGCCCCTGGCCTCTACCCACTAGATGCAGCAGCACCTCTGCCATGCATGACAATCAAGTATTAGCAGATATTACTAAGTTTCCCTGGGAGGCAAAATCAGCCCCGGTGAGAACCACTGCTCTAAGCAGTTCTACAAATGCGGCAGGCATGGCTAAGGGCCCAGGATTTTAGCTGTAGTCTTTACAACATTTCCTCCCATCACACAGACTAAAAAGGTTTGGTGAGTTCAATTTAAACGTATAAGCCAAAATGACGTTATGGCAACCACTTGGGTAGTTCATTGTACCAATAATATGTAAGATCCACTTTGCAAAAATCAACCTTCTCATTGTGAGAGGTATTTCTAGTTCCAAACTAATTGCTGGGAAGTGTATTCCTTATATTAGACACTAAACCCCCCCATCAGCCCTGGTCAGATTGGCTCAGTGGTTAGAGCGTCGGCCACGGACTGAAGGGTCCCAGGTTGGATTCCAGCCAAGGGCACGTACCTAGATCCCTGGCCCCGGTCAGGGTACATGTGGGAAGCAACCAATCGATGTGTCTCTCTCACATTGATGCTTCTCTCTCTCTCTCTTCCTCTCTCTCTCCCGTTCTCCCTCCCCCTTCCACTCTCAATTAAAAGCAATGGAAAAAATATCCTCAGGTGAGGATTTAAAATAAAAACCCTCCATCAGACATCTGCCATGCAGTCCTGAGTAGCATACAAGCAAGTTAGCTACATAACTGCTTCGCTTTTTGAAGAACTCAGCTAATGAAACCTTCAGGTTATATTTATGAAATCCAGTTGAATGCTGCATTGGGCAGTAAAGGTGGTTTTGCTTTACAAAAAGAGTTTTTAGCATCCTTGAGGTCAACATGAAAACTCATTCACACATAATGACTCAGTTGTGGCACTCTACTTACTATTAATGTGGTCCATGTAATAAATTCCAATTTGTTTATCATACACCGTTTCCCATCCCAAAGGAAGTTCATCCCCAACACAATCGGCAAAGGTCAATGGCTTTGTTATCCTGCAAAACAAAATTATAAAAGGAAATTTCAAAATCAGGTCAATTTCGTGTGAGTTTGCTGAATCGACTCTAGAATCAGGTTTTAATACATAATTATATATTATCTTATCTAACTGGCTGGTTTTGCCCCAACTTTGGGTTGGAAAATTAAATCACCGGCTTTGCCCTAAGCAATAATCAGTAAAAATATCAGCACACTCACAGTTAAAAGCATTATTATCTCAAAGTGCAACTTAAATACCAGGGAAAACAGATATTGAAAGTTACAAAACAGGTAAGACAAGCATCTTCCTCCAAGCAGTGTTTAATGAGGTGATGACAGGGGAATGTGGCTCTTCCAGGGGACAGCAGCTCCGCTTTGTTCTCATTCCCTGCGAAATGTCCCCCTCCCAACCTTCTATCCAGTACAGCTTCCATCTGTCCAAAATGGAATCTTTCTATGACCGATGATGATCAGTTAAGGAGTTAAATATTAACCACTGACCAAATGCGAAAATCCAAACAGGCATGGTAACAATACGAGGACATGCCTACTGAATACTGCCTAGGCGCCTGATACAGTAGGAATCAAGATGGCAAAGGGTCCTTTTCGTTTTCTGGAGAAAAACAACAAAAGCACATTGTCTGCACACCTCTCTCCTTGAAGTAAAGCTGATTAAAAACCTTGGCTTGACACAGATAGATAAAGGAAAGGTTTCCAGATGGGCTTCTTTATAAGTATAACTCTCCCCTTCCCCACACCCCATGATCACACTGATTGACAAGACAGCTCTTGTATAAAATGGGCCACACCTATAATTGTCTAAGTCGGGGCTGCTATCTATTCGGGAGTCTGTATAAATGCACACTGACTGGCACGCATGGGAATCCGATAACCTAAATTTCACTAACTCAAATCCTCCCACATCCTCTGCTCAAGTCCCTGGCCTGAGGAAAGTGAGACTGCACAACCACAGGAAACCCCACAAGACCACTATAAGTTTTGAACATGTTATTCCCCCAAACTGGTTCAGCGACAAGGCTTTGTCTCTCCCAGTAGCATTTAGAAATTGATGAACAGCATCAGAATGGCACTGATCAGAATTTATCTTCATTTTAAACATATGGTTTTAAGAAATTAGCGTCAATATCAAGACAGAAATACACAGATGGTGAAACATGCTGCTGACTTCCTCTCAAACACGATGCACTCAAGACCCTACAACATCAAGCACGGAGTTTGCATGGTCACCCACAGAATCGGTGCCTTGAAGCGAGCCGATGAGGAGTCATGCCTGTCGGTCTCCGCACCCACAGGAAAATGAACAAGTCCTTGCTGCTGGTCTCATCAGTCCACAGGGCCCACATTTGGGGCTCGTTTACTCTCCCTTGACAGCAGCTTGGACAGTGATGAGGTTTCCCAGCCCTCTAAGACAGAAGTGGTAAACTAGAAGGCAAGGACGGGGATCCCATGCAGCAAAGGGGGCAGCTGACAGCAGAGAGCAGATAAGCCCACTCACTGGATTCATCCACCACACTGTGAAATACACTCACCTGCAGCAATTTCTTAAACAGTTAAACAAAGAATTTCCATATGACCCAGCAATTCTATGCCTAGGTGTATACCCAAGAGAAATGGAAACATGCCCACACAAAACAATGTCCATACCAGCATTACTCACAACAGCCAAAGGTGAAAACAACTAAGGGCCATCAACTGATGAATGGATACATAAAACACAGCCTAGCCACATAATGGAACATTATTCAGCCATAAAAAGAATAAAGTACTGACACGTGCTACAACATGGAGGGACCTTGAAGTCATTGGACTGAGTTAAAGAAGCCAGGTACAAAAAGGCCATGTGCTGTGTGGTTCAACCTATAAGACATGTCCAAAACAGGCAAATCCATAGTCAGACAGTACCAGTGGTTGCCAGGGGCTGAGGGAGAGAGGGAATGCGAGTGAGTGCTAACGGGTATGGGCTTCCTTGGGGGTGATAAAAAGTTCTGGAGCTAGATAGTGGTGATGGTTGCACAACTTTGTGAATATACTAAAAATGAATAAACTGTACACTTTAAACGGTGAATTTTATAACATGAGAATTATATTTCAATTTTCAAAACTATGATGAAAGGAGCATCTCTGTGTATAAAGCTCATCATCTATATTTATAATTACTTTTTTCAAAAGATTCCCAGAAAAATTTACAAGGTCAAGGATGTGAAGCTCCTTTCTCCATATCTTAAATTTAATGTAAAAAATCCAGACAGTAAAGTGTAAAGAAAAGGAGATGAAGTCACCTATAATCCAGAAACCCTGGATTCATACTTTAGCTTCTTCTCTCTCCATTTCCTACATATATCCTCAGCTGATATCATACTTGATACAATTGTATCATACTTGATACAATTTCATACACTGATTTCTTTCATTTGTATATTTCTTCAGGCCCTTTAACTCTTTGTCAGCAGCACCGTCTATCATTTTGGAATCTTCCATTATGTGCAGTAAACCATAATTTATTTACCAGGCACCTCAAGTCATCTATTTAGGCAGGTTCCAATTTTCTGCTCTTTATTGTAAGGAGTGAATATGAGCTTATTGTAAATGCCTGACATATATTGCCAAGATGCCTGACCATCAGCATACACACCTCCCAGTGAAATAAGTGACAGTCTTTTTCATCACCCTCTGGGAGATCTTGAACACATTTGTTCAAGGGCTCAGAATCAATCCATATGGCACAAGCACACTTTCCTTTCAAGGAACAAGCTGGTAGGGAGTACAGTGTTAGTTCAAGAGCATTTTCAGGAAGTGGGGGAGTTGGGAAAACATGGTAAGCAATGAACTAATGAGCAGGGTACACACTGATGCCACCCTTCAAAGCGTGCTCTAATATTGTATCTTACAAAGACCCTTGTGATTATATTGGGCCCACCTGAATAATTTGGAATAATTTCCCCGTTACAAGATTCTTTAGTTAGTCACATTTGCAAAGTCCCTTCAGCCACGTAAGGTAACATTCAGCCCGGCCGGGCATGGTTTAGCGGCTGAGCATCGACTTGGGATCCAGGAGATCGGGGTTCGATTCCTGGTCAGGGCACATGCCCGGGTTGCGGGCTCAATCCCCAGTCAGGGGCGTGCAGGAGGCAGCCGATCAATGACTCTGTTTCTATCTCTCTCTCCCTCTCCTTTCCTCTCTCTGAAATCAATAAAGATATATTTTTTAAAAAACAAAACAAACATTCACCAGTTCCAGTCCTCATCAGGACATAGACATCTTGGGAGGCCATCATTCTGCCAACTACAGACAGCCACTGGGGAGGTTGCAGGGCCAGAGAGGCTGGGCAGAGCAATGGATGGCAGTCCAGCGACTCAAAGACCATGCCCTGCCTCCTGGCAAGGCTCAGGGCCTGGGATATCTGACATCAGTTACACCAAACTACAGAAAATTAGAGGTGGGCAGCAGACAGTGAGAGTAGAGAGAAAAGTATAAACACTGATTCTTAACACACTTTCTTTATCAAAAACAGGCCAGGGCAAGCCGATGGCACGTGCACTGCACTCTCCAGTCTCCTGGGACAAGATGACCTTCATATTTCCAATTCCTGCTTGTTTTCAACATGCTATTCAGAGAGGATACTCTTCGTCCCAATTTCAGTCCCAAAGCAGTCTTTGAGAAATGATAATGACTTCCTGCACTTCTTCTAACATACCTGACTCACAGTGAGTTGCAGAGCCCACAGAACATGGACAGAGTCTGTTTGGAGTTACTTATGCAGTGGATTGGGCCTCATTTGCTGTGCTAGTTGCTTCCCCAACTTCAATGGCATAATATCGACACCAGCGAGCCAGGCTTCTCACTTAGCACTGAGCAGGTCCCTGAACTCCCTGAACTTGCACTAAAACACTGATAAGCACAGTCCGGGACTTTCAGCAGATTCCCGGAGATGGTAATTACCCCCAAAAAACAAAGTTGAGAAGCTCTTTTAGAAAGATTCCTCATTTCTCTGTCAAGTTTAAAAGAGCAGTCAATGTACCACAAACCTGCCACATGTGTCCTGAAAAGTCATGAATAATCACAACATTTATGTTTTAAGTACAGACACTTAGTTGGAAAACATGTATACACTGGCTTGTCAATTGTCATCAAGTCCCAATTCTAGAATTTAGGGTAAAGAGTCATCACACCTAGAACTCAGTCCAAACATTGCAATTGACATTTCAGTGTATTAACGTAGCACGAGGGACCCGATTTTCGTGATAAGAGTCTTAGAATCATTCTTGAATTACATTCGTGATTTCTGTGTGAAAAGACTGTTTTCTTGAGAATTAAAAAAAATAAAATTATACATTCTCAGTCTTTTCACCAACTCCAACAGAAAGCTAACAGTTGCGGTTCACAGACAAATTCCCAGACTAATCTGAAGAACAAACAGCAAAGACATTTCAAGGGAAGAGAAGACATGGAGGTTTTTATGAATGGCAGTGTAGCCATGAGACAAATGACCACAGAGAATGGGACATGGGTGAATCCCTTCCCCTGAGTATCCCAAAACTGAATTTGCAGGAGACCTCCAGTCTCCAAGGCCTGGATTCAAAAACAAAGGTGCTTTAAGTATTGACAAGTTTCACCACTATCCTTTATGCCTCAACCAGGTAAATCTTACTCTGATTTTTCTAAGTGTCATTCCTGGGAACAAAACCTCATTTGGGGATGCACTTGTCTTCCTAAGCCTCCACAGGCAAAGCCAGGGGCCAACATGTTCTGAGGGGCACAGCTTTGCACAGTGGAGAAACAGGCCAGCTAACCTGAAGGGAGATGGATGGTAGAGTCTGTTCACAGTCAACTCACCCAAGTTTGAGGGTCAATGTTGCTGATAATTCAATGGGGAAATTAACCAGGTCACAAAGCCCCACTTCAAAGCATGGCAAATGCATCTTTTAATAGTCACAATAAAACGTTCATGCCCGATCAGTTGAGCCAATATTTACCCAAAGTGATGAAGGAGCAACAATGCTAGCACTGCCACCAAACCCCTG